AGAATCTCCTGAAGTTCAGGGAAACAGGGTGGCAGATCTGGCAGCCAGGGAGGCTCCCTAGAATCACTGGGGCCTCTCCAGGGTCTGGTAATGCTGCCAGAGCCAGATCTGCTCCTCGACCCTCCCACACATCAGAGGGAAAAGAATGGGCAGAGCACCTGGGCTTCAAGCTAGAAGGAAAAGGTTGGCTGGTTGCCAGACAGAGACCCGTTCTCTCAGCAGTGCTGGGAAAACAGTTGGTGACTCAACTCCACTAGACCAGGCATCAAGGAGCCTCCAAACTTGCTGAGCTCCTTAGGCCAAGGTACTACATCCCTAGACTGGATTATATCGTTAAGGGTGTCACACTAGCTGCCTTACCTGTGCTCATGTGAATCCTAAATGGGGAAGAAGGGCCCCGGAAGGAATACGGTCCCGAGGCACCTCACCTGGAAAGCATTGGGAACTGGAACTTTACTGAAATCAAACCTACTGTTTTTGGATACTGATACCTCCTGGTATTCGTGAACTCTTTTTCAGGCTAGGCAGAAGCTTTTCCCACCTGGACTGAAACAGTTTCAATAGTCACCAAGAAGTTACTTAAAAAATTAGTTCCTACATTTGGCCTACCAATTACTCTGGCCTGGCTTTGACAGCCAAAATATCCCAAATTATGGGAAAGGCATTAAATACCAATTGGAAATTACATTGTGCCTGTAAGCCACAGAGTTCAGAGCAAGTAGAGAGGATGAATAGGACCCTAATGGGAACCTTGATTCAGCTGGTTTGAGAGACAGGCAAAATTTGGACCCGCCTCCTTCCCTTTGCCCCCTCAGGACTAGATGTATCCATACCAGGAGGGGTTACTGTCTATGCAATCATGTTTGGAAGGCCATCACCTATCCCCCGAGATGAAGAGATGTCCCCAGAGCAGAGACGACTAATCACTCTCTCAAGTCATCGCAGGCCCTCTAGGCCACTCGCAAGGCTATTCACCAGGCAGTCAGAGGAGCAGACTCCCAGCCTGCGCTCGAGCCAGTCCACAGAGTCCAACCAGAGGACTTGGGGTGGGTGAAAAGAGTTCCTGCTCAGACTTTAGAACCAACCTGGAAGGGATCTTATCCTACAATCCTGAGCACACTAATGGCTGTGAGGGTAGCTGGCGATCCCTCCTATATCCACCAGTCGCAGCTAAAGGAAGCAGCAGATGAGAAAGAAAAATGAACAGTCACCCAAACTTCTGATCTACTAGAGATAAGACTATGACAAGCCCCTTAATGATTATATTTATTTTATGGGTCAGACAATATACAACAACCTCTGTCCCCAAACATGGGAATGGCAACTCAGAAAGACAGGGGATGGGAAACTTCTTTCAAACTACTGCTACTTCTTGTAACTACTGCTACTCAACCAATCTTTTTTTTTTTTTCTTGTCATCATGGATTTGAACTCTGGGCCTGGGCGCTGTCTCTCAGCTCTTCATTCATCTTAGGACTAGTGCTCTACCACTTGAGTCACAGCGCCACTTCTGGTTTTCTGGTGGTTCAATGGAGATAAAAGTCTCACTGACTTTCTTGCCCAGGCTATCTTTGAACCATGATCCTCATATCTCAGCCTTCTGAGTAGCTAGGATTATAGGCCTGAGCCACTGTCACCTGGCTAGTCAACTCATCTTGAAAGAGGATCTTTGCTCCATGATAAATCCATTTGTTTACTATCAAGGCAAGTATGAGGAAGGGGGCAGCTGAGGCTATGAATGTGGAAATGCAACTATAGAGAAAGTTATCAGTCTATTCAACTCTATGAGTGTCTTGCTACTGCAGGACCCTCTAACCAAGGGGATGGTCACTGCTGCTGTGCCCACTGGGATTGTGAGACAGAGGCATCGTGAAAACATGTAGATTCTTATGTCTCTGTGTTCTGGAAAAGAAAACCTGCGATCTGTTGTTTGGGCAGCTGTGATCCCATGATGTCAAAGTTTTGGCCTGGAATGCTGTTAGTAACCTTGGCTGGGAGACTGGAAGGACCCGGGCAGCCAGGCTCTATGTGACCCAGGGTCAGGATCCCGGAGAGAAGTTCACCATACAATGGAGGCTCCCACGTTGAGACTCTCAGCCTATAGGCCCTAACTCTGGTTTAGTTCTACCAGGACCCCAGAGGCCTACAGATCACAGGCATTCTCAGGCCCCTATAGTTACTGCTTGTGGACTGATCCCGATCACAGTATTCCAAGATCCTGAGGCTTGTCTCTCAATGTTAAGCCTGTTAGAGAAGGTCCATCAAGTCCTAACTCATTCTAGTCCAAGTCTAGGTCAAGACTGTTGATTGTGCTTGGACCTGCAACCTACTTACTACACAGAGGTTGAGACTAACCAGACCTTCACTCCTGTAAAAAATCCAACAGGTTGTAATCCCCGGAATCACCCTGGGGAGCCTACAAGGTCCAGGAACTTTGTTGCCTTGTCTAACTATGACTCATTAAAGAAAATTCCCTACACAGATGCCTGCTATGCTACCCTGCATATATCAAGAGTAACAAATCAATGAGATTACTATCAAGCCGGTTGCTGGTGGCTCACAACTCTAATCCTAGGGACCAAGGAGACTGAGATTTGAGGATCACAGTTCAAAGCCAACCCGGGCAGGAAAGTCGTGAGACTCTTATCTCCAATAAAACCACCAGAAAACCAGAAGTGGTGCTGTGGCTCAAGTGGTAGAGCTGAAGAGCTCAGGGACAGTGACCAGGCCCAGAGTTCAAGCACCACAATGGACAAAAAGAAAGAAAGAAAGAAAGAGATTATTATCAAACTCCAGAGACTATCTGGTTGGCATGCATGAATGGGTTAGCTAAGTGTGTAGCTTCTGATTTATTAGAAGGCCAAGAAGGGTGAGGTCTTCGTGTATTACTCCAAGTCATTCCTCAAGTGTACAACTACAGTGGCGAAGAAGGAAGAGCCTATATTCACATAGATGCAGGACTGGTCCGGACTCAAAGGGCCATCCGATTCCTCATCCCCTTTTTAGTGGGAGCATGGATTGCTAAATCAGCTGCTGTTGGCACATCTGCATTAGTCATAGGAGACAAAAACTTCAAAGAACTAAGCGCTCAGAGAGATATGGATTTAGGACACTTAGAAAATTCCCTTTCCTGACTACAAAGCCAAGGAGATTCTTTAGCAGAAATGGTCCTGCAGAACCAGACCTTGACTTCATGAAACAAGATGATCTCTGTCTGGGCAGTGCGAGATTAAGCCTGCTCATGCCTGCTTATAATACTGATTTAGCTTCTGTAACATCACCCTTGGATTGCAC